ACTTTTACACAACATCACTTACATGGAAACAAAATAAATAAAGCACTTTAGTAAAATAATTTTTACACCAAGGACATATTAAAATGAACATCTTAACTATAACATATGAATGGAAATTTAATAATACATACACTCTAGTGATAATTCAAAGGATATAAAGTTGAAATAAAACTGTGGCTTTAGGACAGACCAATATCACAGGCAATTGCGATTTCGTATTGCAATATGTTGTTGATTTAAAAAGTTGCTAAGATACAACATTTTAAAAGACAGAAGGCTCGTAGCGTTTAGTGTCTCTTCAGTAAGATCATTCCACAGAGCAGTACAGGTATATCTAAAAGAACGCTTATAAAATGTTGTTCTGCATTTGTGAATATAGAGTTTCTTTGATGTTAAAGAACGGGTTGTCCTAGTTGAAAACTGGTTGACATAAGTAAATACATTTTGCTTAAAAAACCAGGAGCCTCATCATTGAGGATTTTGTAGGTTAATACACATTTCCTGAAAGTATAAAAATCAAATATAGGCATCCAGTTCAAATTCTTAAAAAATATGGAAGTTGGAGTTAAAATATCTTTTACATTTAAAATAACTCTCGCAGCTCAAGTTTGAAGGATTACTCCATACAGAAGAACAATACATAAAATGTAGTAAAACGATAGCTGTGTATACTTTTTTGGACACATCTGCCGGCATGAATTTTCTGATACGTTTTAAAACTCCAATCTTCTTTGACAATTTCTTACAAACATTTTCAATGTGGTTGTTCCAAGATAAGAAACTATCAATAAAAACTTCAAGCAGTTTGGCACAATGGACAGTTTCAATAATAACATCGTCTACTTTAATGCACAATTTTCTAAGTTTTGAGAGCTTTTGGGGAGAACCAATTAGCATACAGTGAGTTTTTGGTGATGAAACACACATAAATGTATCCTTATGTCTATTAAAGAGGGACAGTGCTATATTATGGTGTTTTGTGTTCAGTTTTATATTGCTGGTAAAATATGTCGATAATATCTTCTCAAAACCAAACAATTTTCAATAGGAAGGACTGAAAGTTAAATTTGACTAAGATGCAAGGTCAAATGCATCACCTTGCCACACAACCGGTTTTCCTCGTGGGTATGAAGCATTTTTGGCCATTTGTTTTCATTTTAAACTGAGAATATATGATATACACGGATTTAAACTTCGCCATCTGGACATTACCTATCTAATTTAGCACATACTGCTCCCAATGTCAATCTTCAAACATATATCATGATGTTTAGTTAAAAAATAAGAACAACATTTTCAGTGTATTTATATGTATTCATGCATCGCTTGTACCCACCCAGTAAATTGATTTCATTATTTTATTCTCTTATTCAATGACAAGTAAAAATGGCAAACTGTAAAAATGTGTTTGATCTTTTACTTTGAATACATTTAATGTCACAGGGCCAAACATAGTTATCTTTTCAAACGGCATACCCTTATTATGTTACGAATCATAAAATGTAATAAATATTTTATGTTGAACAAACACAAAATCTTTTACTTGCTGGTATCAAGTTTATTTAAACAGTGTCAATATAAACCTTGTATTTTATTATCGTGAATACTCGGATTATATTTGATAACAATATTAAGTATTTGTTTTGTAGAAACTGTTGGAAGTTCCATAATGAAATCATGACTGCTCTCTTGAACGAAGAAACGCTTAAACAAGATCTGGGAAAATTTCCATCAACCTTTGATTTTGATTCGACGAATCTGACCAAGGACGGTGTAAAGAGTACCATAAGGAAATTAGAGGATGACCGGAAACACACAAGAAAGCTTGATACTGAAGATATACAGATAAATAATTTTCTGTCGTATCTGTATTTCGTGTTGGGAAACTATAAACATGCGGATGCATATATTGAGGAATCTCTGCAAAAAGATCCTGAAAATATCACAGCAAACGCAAATAAAGCCAGATTTCTATTAGAAACTGGGAAAATTTCTGATGTTGAAGATATAATAATAAAACTTCAAAAATTGGAGAGAAGAGAAGATTACTACAAGAGGAAATGCTATGCGGAAGCGGATCTTGCGTACGCCTACGCACGGTCAGGTCCTTGGTACCACCAAAAGGCAGTAGATCTGTACACCCGGGTTCTGGAGGCATATCCTACAGAATACGCATGGAAATTCGGACTTGGTTTGGCTTTATTCAGACAGACTCACCGGTTTATTTCACAGACAAACGCCAAATTAAATCCGAGAGAAAACGAAAAGACAGCAGTACATTCTGCTGAGCTGTTTCTAACTGTTGCTACGGAATCAGATGATCCCAATTTACGTGCAAATGCATATGCCAGATTAGGAAGAGCTGTTTTCAATATTTCAAAAAACAACTACACAAACGTGCCTGATGAAATTATGCGTTTACAGCCTAAAGAGTATTTTGAAAAAGCGGTAGAAATTTGTCCTGAGGAACCATCGGTGTTAGAAACGTGTGGCCAATATGCACGCTACAGAGGGGAACTAGATACATCGGAAAAATTGTTACGGAAATCTCTTCAAATCAAGCCGACGTGTCAAGCGTATCATCATCTTGCCTTGACATTAAAGAGGCGAGTAGAAATCAGTCGTTCGGATGCCCATAACAAAGGCGCCTATAACTTCAGTTTGGGTGCTAACGGCGACAGACGTGGAGGAAGATACAAATCAGGTTCTGGACAGAAAGCGAGTCAAAATGTTCAGGGAGGGTACGGTCGATATGGAAGTTCATGCAAACGCGACAGCCAGAATGGAAATAGGNCGAGTCAAAATGTTCAGGGAGGGTACGGTCGATATGGAAGTTCATGCAAACGCGACAGCCAGAATGGAAATAGGCGACAAAAAGGACCATCTAGAGAATGCATGTCTGACAAGTCAGAAAGGACAAGAAGAAACCTTCGTCAAATGATTAAGTCACCGTTGAAAGTTCC